GATGAGGTTGGCCGAGATGTATTTGATATACTTAGATTTACTTAAATATTAACATAGTTCTTAAGTTATTTGTAATACTAACACACTATGAGACTATGATGTATCGAAATAAAAAATATATATTTTATTTATATTTATTTATTAACATTGTTTATTTATAAAGCGCTATTTCTATAACTATCAAGGAAGCACATAAGTATAGTATTTTCTAATTTTAATTACTTACTCAATAACATATTATTTCATAACATGTCTATGTTGTAATGATCGTAAAGCTTAAAAAAAATTGAAACTTCCAAATAGTTCTTTACGTTTAAACATTAAGCACTTAATTGTATTATAAATTTAAGTGAATTGTATTTAAAAGCCGAATCGGGCTTGTAAGCAACATTACATTGATCTTTTAACTACAATGACTCAAATTGATAAGTAGGCGTATTGTAAGTTATGTGTATCTACCGATACCGATTGTATTGATGTCTTCAAAGTGTGGTCTAAGTTATGAGATTTTTCACTAAAACATTGTTTTATTACGTGAATTTAACGACACTCGCATTTTGCTTGTATTTACTAGTAGGTAGCCGAATTGACACCTGAATTGATTTAAGGATATCGTGCTCTTTATGCTGCATTTTATTTACAAAGGAAACGACAGTAATGTGTTTTGGTTTGAAGGGTGGGGCAGCCGTTGTAGTGTAAAAAAAACTGAGACCTTAGAACTCATACCTCAAGGTAGGTGGCGGCATTTACGTTGTAGATTAACATCACGTGGGCCGTGAGCTCCACACACCTAAGCAATAAAAAAACAACGAATATGGAGCCGATATTAAATGGTCAGACTTACTCAAGGTTCAAGTTGGGTTCCGTTTCAACAACAGACATTGTCTGAAACTTTTAACTGACAAAACGGACTACGCATTGTATCTTGCCGTCAGTTCCTCAACACTGCAGACCAAAGAACACAATACTGAATATCTAATATCACATCGAGGCTCTTTGGATGATGCGAAATTTTTGCAACTTTGCAGGAGAGCCATTTAAAGTTTAAAATCTGGAAAAATATCATAATACAAAACTTCGGCTATTTGAATGGAGATTACTTAATTGAAGTTCAATTAAATACATCGAATTGTTGATACTAATATCAAATAAAACGCACCCTTATTTACAAAGGTAAAAGTCGCGTATTAAGCGAAATATCGCTTGAATAAAATAGCCTATCACTTCACTGCATTATATTACAATAAAAATAAGGTTTCAAATTAAAAACGGCTTTAACTTAGACCATTTCTCAGCAACAATTAAGGAACTAGAACAATCGGTGGCTCGTTACGGAGAGACGACGCGATCAACTCAATACGTTTATTTATTGTTCGATTCACAATGATTGGCAAGGACCAAATCCATTAGAACATGCATCTGTATTTATAGAATACGCATTTGTATTTTTCAATTCTAATACCAGTTTTAAATATTATCTATACTAATATTATAAAGAGGAAAGATTTGTTTGTTTGTATTGAATAGGCTCCGAAACTACTGAACCGATTTGAAAAATTCTTTCACTGTTTGGAAGCTACACTATTCCCGAGTGACATAGGCTATAATCTTTTTTGAAAAAAATTATGGACTAAAACTTCAATAATGTAACCCAAGGTGTAAAAAAATTACCTAAAATATTCTTTACATCGCGTGCGCGGCGAAAACTATTGATGATAGAATAAAATAATGTACTACGACTTTGTAGAACACAATATTATTTACAAAAAGTGTCGCAACAGCATATGTCTAACTATTATAGTTATGCCGCAATAAGTGTTCTATTATTTAAAAAAATAAAACAACGTCAAATATCGTTGAAACTTTTGTTAAAGACCCGAGCGGAGCCGGAGCGGGCCGCTAGTTAATTATTAATAAGGTACGCAATAACTATGAAAATTCTAATTTGAAGGACCATCCCCATGTATTTTAAACGCAATCGACAGTACGATCTTATGTCTGTGGTTTTTATTGACGCTAATTATTAATTACATAATTTCATCAATCGCATGATACGAATCCAGAATTATAGTCGCCTCTGTGGTCAGTTTTAGATGTTGACTTAAATTTGTTCCAAACATTTTTGATCTTTGATACTTTCGTAGTAAGACATCAGCTTATTAAACTCCGTATTACCTACAAATTTCGTAGACTAGTGGTTGAAACACTCACAGAGTAATCTCTTAAACCCTAATCCAAAATATCTTAAATAACAAATCCGAAAGTAGCTCTGTCTATCTTTTATGTTTTGACGCCAAAACTTCGGCAAAATTTAGAATGAAAATGGGAATAACTAGAAATTTACTCACCATATATAAATACTCTGCTAGGGAAACAGCGTAGAGGGGATTTCATTCCAAAGCCGGATAGTACATGGCAGAAAAGATATCTAGAAACGCACTGGCCCATTTTGCAGTGAAATAAACTGTGCTCCGGTGGCGGGCAGTGCAATGGTAAACGGATGCAATGGTCCCAGAGAGTCGAAAACATCAGCGAGAATGGGATTTTTGACAATCCGAACGGTCCTCTTTTGCATGAAGTACGTAAGTAGTTGGTACTTAGGACCCCACTCCGGAAATGGGAGCAGCACCCCAGGCAAGGTCGGACTTGTGCTTTGTAAAGCAAAAGTCTTTGTCCAAGCGTGAAGTACAACTTCGCTAAACAGAAAGAAGTCCCAGCATTTTTGAAGCTAGCTTGGCTTTGCCCTCCAAATGTCTCCCGATACTGGACATTATCCGAAACGGTGACCCCAAGAATCTCAATACACGTGGAAAATAGTAGGGAAACTCATTTGAATTGCAGCGACATGACAAAAGCGTCTTTCTTCACAGTAAACGCGCAAACCTTTATTTTTAATGGGTTTAATTGAACTATATAATGTAAAATTAAAAGTAAGATTAAGATATTGAATAAAGGGAGCATTAAAATTGCGCCATATAAATGGGACAAGGTATATTAATAAACAGCGTGGTCTCCAACAAACAGCTTCATTTATTTAAGTACCTACATACGTATGTGTAATAACTAATTAACATTTATTAAGATAACTTTTGATCTTTGATATAATTTTGTCTTCATAAACAAGTCTGGTTTAGTACATCATTGGGAGAGACATTTAGCCCTTTACTCAAAAATAAGTCAGGATAATTGGTTCTCAAACTTTTGTTGAAGCGGTACCTTTATCTTGAAAAAAAATAGCTGCATTAAGAAATGGCGAAAAAAGCTTTCATGTGATTTGTACAAAAATCTAAAAACAGCACAAATTTAATAACTCAGTTGTCTTTAATGCGATAAATAAAACTATTTGGATGAATTTTTCATTATTTCCATTATACTGATGAGAATTTTTGTTAAATTTACTCTCAAATTATTAAACAAATATCTACATACATTTTTTCACAGATACTCAATTTTTTGTCGACTTTTCCTAATTTATACCACGCTACCCCCGGCTCGTTTGCGGCACCTGATTTGGTAGTCTCTATTATAAATGAAAATATATCATTGTTTGGCCATTAGCTCGGTTATTCAGCGCATAATACGAATACGTGACCTCGTAAGCTACTTCTTCCCTAATGGTCCTGTCACTCGCCCCTAAAGTAAGTAAATACATCCATCCAACCCCTCATTAAAACAAGTATACTAACACTATTGCCTAGATCTATATCAGTTCTAACTATTCGTGCTTTCTATTGTACGCATTCATAAATACTATAACTTAAGAACGACACGAGAACCCTCTCATCGTGGTCTCAAAACCTAAAAGACGTCATTTCGGATCCTCCTGATCCACTAACGGTGCTTTTAGTACATCAAGCAGCGGTCATCGTTCTCGTCGAACCCATCGCTTGTGACGAAGGGCTCGGCGAGTAAATTAACCCACAGACACAGCTCACTGAGTTTCTCACTGGATCTTTTCAGTGGGTCGCGTTTCCGATCCGGTGGTACATTCTGCGAAGCACTGTTCTTGCTAGGGTTCGTGTTAGCAACGCCGTCAGGTTTGAGCCCCGTGAACTCATCTACTCGATCGGATACACTGGCATAGTCTCTCAATGCTACCAGCTTAGGCAAAAAAAAAGGAAAGAAAAAAAAAACTTAAGAATAAACACTTAACAAAGGAATATAATAGTATTTAGCAAATGAGTACGAAATAGAAACAAGCCGATATGGGATGAATGTTAGCATGAACTATATAAAAATAGAAATATTCTTCTTAACATTACTCATGCGATACTTTGGTCATGTTATGATTAAACCAATGTGAATCGAACAAAATAAATTGAGCGAATCATAAAGTTAAAGTTGAAATTCATAAATAATATTTCTAAGACAGTTTCTCAGCGACTGGTATTGCTCGTAACTAATTTTGCGGTATAGTCTGCCGCTCATTATTTAGACTACAATTTTTGAAATTCCGAACACTCACTTTGCAATTTTCATGAACAAAAAGATCCTATAGTATCTTTAATCCTACAGTAATCACGTGATTAAATCAACAATTAATAAATGAAAAAGTTCAGGTTGTATGAATCGATAAGAAGTTAAGCTGTTTGATCTTCTAGCCCAGCGTTTAGGTTTTCATACAAGGGCCCAAAAATGGGTAAACAACCTGTAATCAGCAGCAATTGGCATACAAACTCATCCAGTCCAGTGTTAAATGACCCCAATAAATATGCAATAGGCAGGGACTTGGCTATACCCTTGACATTGCGGATATCCATGACCGACGGCAGCCATTCACCATCAGGGGCGCATATGCTCGTCTGCCCAGATCTTCATAGTTTTAATGGAGGAATATCCATCCGACAGTGCCATTGTCTATTGAATTGCTGCAAAAATAAGCTAATAACATACCCAGCTACGCAAAATATGAACAACGAAGTGCGATATAATTTTTCATTACGATATATTATTATGTCGTCCATTTGATTCGTATACATCGTCTGGACTATAAAGCCGGCGCCGTGGCTGCGTCACCCCACAGTCGGACTCGGAGCGTTGCATAGCGAACCGCCTTGGCCGAGCACAAACGCTTTTTTCTTCTAAGTCGTTTTTTTAAGAAAATCTTCTTACAAAATGGTGAGTGATTTTTTTTTAATAAATTACAAACATTTTTACTATGTTTTTGGAACGAAGTTCCTTACGGCAGGCTTGGAGGAGATAGGGATTTTGCTACGCGACCGAACTGAAAAAAATGTGATAGTAAAAACCGTAAGAAAAAGTCCGTGGAATAAGGCCTTGTTTTCCGCACAGCGATATTTCACCGTGCGATTTTTTTCTCGTAATTTTTTTTTTATTTTTATATATTGAACTTCGTTCCTATCCGGTGTCCCACGACACCACACATCTTTTTTCTTCTTTTTTTAATTAGAGCATTATCCTGTATTCATTTTATTTTATCTTTATCAAAAACATTAACATGTATCTGCAATTAGAATTTAAAAAAAAAACTAAACAATTTCTTCGGTTTTCGTCGATATCACTAAAACTACTCTTATGATTCTAACGTTTTACGTTAAATGTTGTCTAAGCTTTTTATTTATTTTATTACAATTTAACAAGTATCGATTAATAACACTATCGAATAATAACTTAGCCCACGAAAACCATGAAATAGTTGAATCATCGGAAATAATATAATGGGAATAAACGCAAGATAAAAGTAGTTTATTTATATAAAAAAAAACCAAATTAAGAAATCGCTTTAAAAATTATTTAAAATCTGTGGTGTGAAATTGTTCAGCCTAGAACCTTCTTCAATAAACGGGCTCTCTCACGCAAAACTAATTAACTAACTCCGACTGATATTTTCTTACATTAACGCGATCAAACCAATCGTTTTTATCCAGATTTATAACAATACATCCTAACTATATTAAACAAACTACAAGCTATGAAGATAAAATGCGTAAAAAAAGGAGGATTGTAAGGTTTTATTTGTTTTGAAAGATTGCTATTTGGGCTTTGTCGAACTGCAGGAATTAAAAAATCATACTTGAGTCGACTATTATCAAAGGCGGCAATCTGACTTTTGGACAATGATTGGTAAATCAGAAAAACGAATTATTGACTTTGTATTCCATTGGCAGTCACAAAACTCTTCGGAACGACATCTTAGATAAATAACAGGTTAACTATTAACCTTTATTTAATGCAGGTTTTGAACCGTATTCTTTGAAGGAGACGATTATANGACTTTGTATTCCATTGGCAGTCACAAAACTCTTCGGAACGACATCTTAGATAAATAACAGGTTAACTATTAACCTTTATTTAATGCAGGTTTTGAACCGTATTCTTTGAAGGAGACGATTATATTCAAATAAATCTGTATTGACATATCAATAAAAAATTTTTGTCCAAATGTACAGATTGCCACCTTTGATAATAGACGACTCACTTAACGTACGTATGTAATATCACTACATAGTATAAAACAAAGTCGCTTTCTCTATCCCTATATCTGTCCCTAATCCCTATGTATGCTTAAATCTTTAAAACTACGCAACGGATTTTGATGCGGTTTTTTTAATATATAGAGTGATTGAAAAGGAAGGTTTATATGTAGAATAACATCCATTAAATAATGGAGAAATCAATAATAAATTACAGTTTCCGAAGCGAAGCGAGGGCGGGTAGCTAGTAAATATATAAAACAATAAGAAAGTTAAAGTTTTCATAATCACGGAAATGTAAATTGCTAAATTTGTTTACATAGAACACTGGAAGATAGAGTTTATGAAATCAGTTTATATTTCCGTCTGTTGCGGTTATACCAAGGAAACCTAAACCTATTAAGTTTATTGTTTTGATATTAATTCTAAGAAAATAATGAAATACTATCCTGTTGACGCACTCCGCAATACAACAGCAGTACCAACATAGTATTTAGGGCGGTTGTGATTTCATACGATAACTCAATATTTCATCTTTTAATTTGACAATGATTTTAGTGGATTACGGTAAATTACGTTTTGTACCAAATGAATAGGTGTTAAATTTGGACTGTCTTTTTCTTTCTTTATTCAAAGGACTTGTCCGCAACTTTGAATACTGAAATTTTTTTTTCATAGATAAAAGCGTCGCGGCGAAAAAAATTTGAGATCCAATGTGCTAGGCAGTGTCCATATTTAAATGTTTTTCATTTTCTTCATACTACTTATTGTTTTCAATTGGTGGAACCGAAGTTTCGTGACATTTGGTAAATAATTAATTAAAATGTACATACACGATCGATGTTTCTTGGGAACACTAACGTCTTGTCGTGCTCTTGATTAGAATAATAAAGTTCCTTATATTTAAAGTCACATTCTCAAGCCCAATACTGCGATGCTACTAATATATTATGTATCGTCACTTAAATTAAAGAGGACGTTGATTAAGGTAATATGATGGATTTTTATAAATTAATATTTAAAGAGATCGCAAATATATAAGTCCCTTATTTTTCATTGGGACAATATAAGCTTAAAGAGTAAGAATAAAATAGAAAAAATAGAATTAGATTCTTTTGATTGTATCTGTTTTAAAATCAAAAGTTTTTTTGCTTAATAATTCTCATTCTAAGTGGTTTAATTGAAATAGGTATTTGAAAATGTTGTTATTAACACATTAATGGGAACCTGTGCTTTCCCGTGAAGTAACATTGAGTAATTTTCTTTTGAACGAAGGTTTTGCTTGTGGTCCGAACGCTTTTAAAAATTCCACTACAACGGATCGGCGACCTTATAGGCTCAGTCGGTTGGAGTTTGAATCACCAATAATCACCATGTACCATTCGTAGAAACTGTAAAAATGTACTTATTCAATATTATAAAAAAAAGAACAAAATATTCCTAACCTAAAAGTACATGTTGTTATCCGCAACATGCTTCGTCAGATTACAGAAATAGAGTTATCAGCAACATGTTTCGTCAAAAAGTACAATACCTACTTTCAGCTGCAAGCGTTGTCATAAGTAATATATAGGTCCACGCTAACAGCAATGCGCGCGTAGGCATTGGCTAGTCAAACAACTTATTCAATATGTCTGAATTAACTGGAACCTATAAAATTGAACTGTCAAGAATTGTTACTGGTGGTAGAACCTCTTGTGAGTCCGGACGGGTAGGTACCACCGCCCTGCCTATTTCTGCCGTGAAGCAGTAATGCGTTTCGGTTTGAAGGGTGAAGCAGCCGTTGTAACTATACTAAGATCTTAAAACTTATATCTCAAGGTGGGTGGCGCATTTACGTTGTAGATGTCCATGGGCTCCAGTAACCACTTAACACCAGGTGGGCTGTGAGCTCGTCCAACCACCTAAGCAATAAAAAAAACACTATAAACGACCATGGTATTCTCACAAATAATAATATTTTTGGGAAAATCGATGAATAGGACTGTTATATTAATTTCTAAGACCAATCTAGTGATCACCCTGAGCATCGCTCAATTTATAACCTAAAAATTATAACCTCAAAAGGATCTTGATTTCTAGTTTTGACTCAGTTTTAATGGCAGTCTGACGATAATCTCTTTCGCCATTCTACTTATTAAGCTCTTTTGTGCTTTATTTTTAAACGTCGAAAATGTTTTTGTTGAATAACCACCCCCTACGATTTCAAGATTATCAAAGCCAACTTATTTTCAGCCTTTCGGCGTCATGTGCGTAAGACGTTTCTTCAGAAGGGTCATTATTAACATCGTTAAAGACGTAGAAAACAGGCACTGTCATTTATAAACCGCTTTCTCCTCTACTAGTGCAAATAGAAAAAACTATAAGTATTAATTAGTGCTTCGTCAAAGGAAAGTCTCGGTAATTGATAAATAATTAGTAGCTGTCAAAGTTATATTATGATTTTTTTTTTCTGTTTTTGGTCTGGTGTTAAGAGCAGCTTACAGACATCACAATGTAAACGCCACTACCTTGGGACTCACTCGTGATGCAGTTGAGGTCTTAGGTCTCCTTTGGAGGTACTCGGGCAGTTGTTAGCAAATGCCACCCCTCCTGGCTGAGCCTTTGCTCGCCCATCTGTCCTGGTGAAATTGGAAAGGCCTCTGGGCACCAGTAATCCCTCATTCATAAAAAAACCTTGGGTCATGAGGTATCAAATGCCCTTTATAGTGGCTGACCCACCGGTGGACTGCGATACCTGTCCTTGGGTGATAACATACCCTACTACCACCATTCGCAAAGGGGATTGCCCACTCTCCATAGTGTGCTAGGCCCAAGATGGACATCAAATATTACTATAAAAATGTACTGATTCAAATTCTTAAATGTATTGGATATCTAAAAAATATATTGAAATTGACGCCACTATTATAAAAAATATAATAAAAATAAAAACTCGTTTTGAGGTTAATTTTCTATATAAATAAGTGTCGGATTGTGAGATACTTCAAGAACTTTTCTTTTCTTAATGTTTAAGATGTTCCTAATGTATTTTTATCCAATAGGGTATAAAAACACACTTAATTCTTTAAATATCTATATTTTCTTCATCTTCATACACAATTAGTATCATCTAAAAATAGCAAAGGAGAGCATATACACGGTTTTAAATCTCGGTCAGGGTAAAACCACAATTCACACAATGTTTTTTAGTCGTAGTATGAAACGTTATTGATAAAAGTAAAATAAATCGAAGAAAAATCAAAACACATCCATTTTGTACGCAAGCACAACACCACAAGCAGCAAGCGAAGTATCAGTCAGTCAGATTAAATTCAGTGTTGTCAGTATAAAGAAAAATAATTACATGAAATTCATATATCGATTATTTTTTTAAATAACCGATAATTGATTTATATCTTAATCTTTTTTTTACGAGTACACATTATTTTTTATGTTTTTGTTTTAGTTGTACATATTTAAATAACAATACTAGTAAAGTTTTTTTTATTGCTTAGATGGGTGGGCGAGCTCACAGCCACCCTGGTGTTGCTAAGTGGTTACTCGAGCCCACATACATCTACAACGTAAATGCGCCACCCACCTTGAGATATAAGTTCTAAGGTCTCAAGTATAGTTACAAGTTAAAGTCCAATGGGTATGTCTTCGATGTTATTTTATGTGCATAAAATCCATTAAAATCGT